ATTGAAAAGATTGTACAAATCTGAGCAGACTGCTGGAGGGATGAGATGGCACGCCGAGCATACTCAAACGGATGGAGAGATGACTCATCCATCAGATGTAAGAGCTTGGAAACATTTTAACAATGTACATCCACATTTCACTAGCAATAGCCGGAATGTGTATCTTGGATTATGCACTGATGGATTTAGTCCATTTGGAATGTCTGGGAGACAATATTCATTGTGGCCGGTCTTTCTTACACCGTATAACCTGCCACCAGAGATGTGCATGCGACGAGAGTTTCTATTCATGAGCATATTAATACCTGGTCCAAAATATCCAAAAAGATCTCTCGACGTTTTTCTACAACCACTGATAAAAGAGTTGAAAGATTTGTGGTCAACAGGGGTGAGGGCATATGATTGTTCTACGAAAACAAACTTCACGATGCGAGCGATGCTTTTGTGGACCATAAGTGACTTTCCTGCATATGGTATGTTGTCTGGGTGGACTACACATGGGAGATTAGCTTGTCCAAAATGATGATGTTTCTACGGATTATGAGAATGTATCCGAATTAATTATGTATGTTTTATAAGTTTGTTTAATCACAAAAACCAATTTCAATTATGTATGTTTTAAGCTTGTTTAATCACAAAAAAATGAATTTGGGATTTAGGTGTAGAAGAGGTTAGGAGTTTAGTTGTAGAAGAGGTTATAAGTTAAGGAAGTTGTGGTTTGGGGTTTGGGGTTTCGAATTTAGGGATTTACAAACCCTTTCCTCGTAAAGCTGCCAGAGTTAGATCCTATCCGACGGGACGGCCAAAACGTATTATGGTATGTTTTAATTTTTAAATCCTCCTCTATTCATCCTGATTTGCAGGTGCCGCCGAATGCACCATTTGCGGTGTATACGGTGGAAGATATTTTAGCCCTTCTAGGTAGAGAAGGGCTGCCAGAGTTAGATCCTATCCGACGGGACGGCCAAAACGTATTATGGTATGTTTTAATTTTTAAAAAGTTTTATTAATTTTTAAAAAGTATTATGGTATGTTCTAATTAATGATTTATTTTCTGTCTTTCCAGGTTTGGTCTTGACAATTGCGTCGGATCTAGCGTCACGGACTGTATCAAGGGANAAATCGTTCGCTGTAATTTTAGTAAATCAACTTAATTTATTTTTAATCATTTAAAATAATGAATATTATTGAACTAATCCGTCTTTTATTTTTTCTGGTTGCAGCAAAAATATCGTTGGTCTATTGGGATTCACCAGCAGGTGAAGTCAGAGTTTGAGGCCAAGGCAAAAGCACGATTGTGCGACATGGTCTACAACTGAAAGGGCGACTTTCAGGTATAAATTTATAAATTATAATATATGTATAGTTTTAAAAATATATATTATTGACTTTAATTCTAATTATTTTAAATTAGGTGGACGGTTACGAGCGCGGGAAACTCGATTGCCTCAGAACCACGGTGTGGGATGGCCTCATCAGCTATTGGGCGTTGCCGGACTAGATCAGAACCTCCCACACAAACTCCGAGAACCGCATGACCACAGACGAGCATGGCAACACGAAGATGCTTCACACCATGGGCCGAAAACCTCACGGGGGAGTTCGTCTAGACATGGTATTTTTTATAACTATTTAATTTTTACTTTATTTGAATATTCTAATATTCTAAATTAATATTTAATTTTTTTAAAAAAATAAGGATAAAGAGACAGGAGTTCTTCCATCTCTGAAAGACCTTTACGAGTGGACCCACCGGAAAAGAGTGGGCAGTTTGTAGATCCTGCTTCCGAGCGGATCTACAGCGAGGTTGCTGCCCGAGTTGACGAACGCCAGACCCAGCTGACTCAGCAGACTGGGGCTCCGGTCGTATTATCTACTCTTGAAGTGGATAAGATTTACGAGGAGGTAAATAATTAATTTGTTTTAATATATTAATTTTTATTATTTATTTAAAATTTTCCTTACGTTATTAATATTTTTATTTACAGATCGTCCCTAGGAAAAAGGGCCGTATTGTCGGAATTGGCTCGGTTAACGATGTCCCCGCAGTGACATCGGCTTATGTTCACCAACAAGACGATGCCAATGCTCAGCTGCGGACGGAGTTGCAGGCGACGTAGTCTCATGTGAGTACGCTCACCGATATCCTCGACATTATGGCGGTTGGAAACCCGCAAGTGGCGGAGATGTTGCGTCAGAGACGGGAAAGCGGAGCCCTTCCACCCCAACAGCCTCCACCATCTCAGTCACAACTGGCATCCAACATTGGAGACGACGACTTCGTGCACCAATTTCAAGAGCAGCATCCCTTTTAGTTTTTTTAGTTTTTAATTGTATATTATGAATTTTAAAACTTATTAATTATATATTATTTAGTTATTTAGAAATATTTTGTTATTTTTATTTATAATATGGTTTTTTTAATTTTTTTAATATATATAATTTTTAATTTATAATTTTTTTTTTTAAATAGGAAAAAATTATTTCAAAGCAAAATCCTCGTAAAGGTTTCGAAGTAAACTACTCGTAAACTTTCCTAGCAAGTTCCTCGTAAAGATCCTACTACGAGATTACGAGGAAATAGTTTACTACGAGCTTCCGAGGAAAGCCTACGTGGACCTTACGAGGAAAACGTATCCACGCGTTTATGAGGAAATGTTTCCTCGTAAATTAGCTAGGAAATTACGAGGAAAATATGCTTTACGATGAACGTCTTTTGACGAAACGCGTTTCCTCGTTATTTCCTTGTAAAGGACCGTTGACTAGGAAATAACGAAGAAAACCCGTCCTAGTAAAGGACGTGTTTTCTTGTAGTGTTAGGTTCTTCAACTTCATCATCATCATGAGTTACAAATGCATCACCTACCATATCATGAACCCTATCACTATCTACCATTTGTTCCTCTTGGTGATGATAGCTATTTTCATTACGCAAATGATCAACCGGTTCAACCTGAAAATTGCTATTACTACTGTTACCTTCATTCCTATACAACTAGCATCTTCTCCATGTTGATACCAAATATAATAATATGGCATGAAACCTCTATTTATTAAATGCTTCCAAACATTTTCACGATTGTATTGCAGCATTTCCGACAAGGACAGAACATCTTATCACTTTCCTGCGTGAGTGGTGCAGAATCTGCTTGATGCATAAACGTCTCCAACCCTTCGAGAATTTCTTTCGTCACCCTCCCGTTATTATCTCTGTGTGAATACATCCACTTCCGTAACTCGAAAATATTTCCCGGACCGGACATTTTTTTGTGTTTGATCAAGCTTATAGCTGATTTTTTTTTTGGTGTGTTTCAAATTAATCACAAATGGTGGTATTCATAGAAATTTTCGAATCCGAGCCTTTACTAAAAATTGCTAGGAAATGAGGTACAAAATACGTTTTTGATTTAAATTCGATATTTTCTATCTAGTTCCTCCTAATTTCGTAGTAACAAATCAGTTCCTCCTAATTTCGTAGTAAAGTTTTACTAGGACTTTACGAGGAAAGTTATTACTACGAGTTTACGAGGAAATTGACTTTTGCCACGTAGTTTCCTCGTAACGTTACTATGGTCTTATGAGGAAAACTGTTTCTCGTACCTGTACGAGAAAACTAGTTTTCCTCGTAAAACCGAAGTAAGTTCATAGTAAATTTATGAGGAAATATTTTCCTAATAAATTAGGTACGAGAAACAGTTTTCCTCGTAAAACCGAATTATGTTGATAGTAAATTTATGAGGAAATATTTTCCTAATAAAATTTCCTAATAAATTCTTAGTTTTCTTGTAGTGAAAGCTTCTTTCTCTCAATCATCGTCTCCCCCATTGCGTACAAACAATAGCCTGCTGAGGCTGATGTCAGTCTTGTTGATTTCATAAAATAGCTGATCGGTGAAAAGATTCTTCTTCTTTTTGAACATCTTCTTATCGCCGCTCACCTCTTTTGGATTGGTTATTATAAATAATTATCGCATTAGATTCTTTTACTGTTGTACCTGTTACCCGAATTGTATGTAGAAATATCCAAAAGACATTGGTCGTACATTTCTTGCGAAGTAGTCATATATGTATGGATAACGAAAAAGAAGAATAATGCATTATTGACTTAATTAATACTCCCTCCGTTTTATATTAAGTGTCCTTATAGAGAATTTTTTGCGTTACAAAATAAGTGTCGTTTTCGATTTTCAATGCAAAATTTATTAATTTTGTTATGTAATTTATTTTTCTATTAATTAAAATATGGTTAGGTGTATGGGTAATTGTGTTTTTATATAGGAAATATGTAAAATTAATTGTTTCCTTAATTCGTGTGCACAGATGTAGAGTGACACTTATATATAATAAAACAGAGGGAGTATAGATTTTCTTTATGCACCATGTCCCGGTTCTTTACATGGCGACAGGGGCGGTTGTCCTGGATCTATGGGTCCATAAAAAATTTAGTGTTATTTTATTGATTATAAGAACTCATTTCAAATTGGTAAATAACTAAATATTTGTTGGTTATAATAAAGACCAAAATGAACTAAAATTAACTCACATATAATAAAAGAAAATCCAAAACTATATATTTAACCATTTTCTAATTTTCTGATAAACACATTCTATTGGTTTAACATAGAAAAATACAATTTTTTTTAAAAGAAAATGTTTATGAATCAATGTTTCGCTTAAGGCTTTTAAAACTTTTAAGATGACACTGTTTTCACCATACCTTAAACTGCATCGGTTTATGTCCGTTAACCATTCTATGTTGGTTATGAGGGTTTTTATATAATATTTAGTTAGTTACTTAATTTGTTTGCAAACTCGAGAACGACAACTAATTTGAAACGGAGATAATAATAAATTATGACACACAAAAAGAAGAAGTTTAAATCTCTCCATACATATTGTTGTGTTATAGAAAATAAACCACAATGGAGGTTAACAATTTTTATTACATGATATAGCACTTATTCAAACATAAAGAAAATTAAGAGCTCTCATCAAACAGTCCTAAGATCTAAGAAATGGGTAAAGCTCAAACCTTGCATAACAGCTTCTACACATTAGTCTATCTCCTTTTACTTCATGGCCGCAGAATGGATGTGCAAAGATAAGCCACTCTAGACACACATAGCAAGCACTCGCTTTTAACTCGTTTGTACATTGCACCATTCCATAAAGCTTCTTTGTCCCAATCATCGTCTCCCCCGTTGCGTACAGTGGCCCGCTTAGGCTGATGTCAGTCTTGTTGATTTCAGACAATAGCTTATCGGTGAAAATATCCTTCTTCTTTCGAAACATCTTCTTATCGCCGCTCACCTCTTTTGGATTGGATATACAAAAATAATTATCGTAGTTGATCCTTTTACGGTTGTACTTGTCACCGGAATTGTATGTAGAAATATCCAAAAGACATTGGTCGTACCATATTGTGCCTCCTTTGTTTCCAGGACATTTCTTGCGAAGCTGTTATATATGTATGGATAATGATAAAGAAGAATATTGCACTATTGACTTAATTAATAGATATTTTCTTTATGAATCCATGCACGGTTCTTGACATGGTGACAAGGTCGGTTGTCCTGGGTTTATGGGTCATAAAAAAATTTAGTTTCATTTTATTGATTATAAGAACCCATTTAAATTGGTAAATAGCCAAATATTTATTAAAGATAATAAAAGAGACCAAAATAAACTAAAACTAACTCACATATAACAAAAGAAAACCCAAAAAACTATATATTTCACCATTTTCTAATTTTCCATTGATCGAATTCTATTGGTTTAATTTAAAAGAATGCAACAAAATTATTTTTAGAAAATATTTGTGAAACGTCCATATTCAATGTTCGCCTAATGCTTTTAATTTTTTTAAGACGGCATTGTTTGCACCATCCCTTAAACTGTATCAGTTTATATCAGTTAAACATTCTATGTAGAGTATGAGGATTGTCATATAATATTATATTCTTTTGTTGATAACAATAGTTAGTGTGTGCACATCAGCACATACCCATTTGTAAAGGTGGACACAAATCGATTATCCGAGTTTTTAAAGTATACTTGATCCAATATGTATTGTTCGAATGATCAATTATCTAATTTGATTTGATCCATAGCCATCTGGATCGGTGCCCCGGATAGCCAGGAAATTTATATTTTTTTATTAGATATTCGATTCGGTTCGTAAAAATAAATAAAATTAGAATACAATAAAAATTACAAAATAATAATAAAATAATATTTATTATAAATATAAATTTTATTTACTTTGTAAAATCTTAAAAATAATTTAATGAATTTAATAAACAAAAATACTATAAATTATATACAATATAATATTTGTGTAACTTATATATATAATTCTTTAAATATATATGCATATATGCATATAACATATCATGGTCAGCTGATTTGTTCATAAAAATATAGTATTTGTGTTTTGTTTCGATTCTTACAGATATTGCATATTAGTATTTGTTTTGATTCGTAGAATTATGAATATCCGGATTTTTCAGTTCGAATCGAAACAGATTATGAATCGAATCAAAATTCACGGATACTTTTTTGGTGCCTTACCCATTTGTATTTATTCATACTTGACTGCTAATAATATAATAGCGAAGTGATGTTACCCCAGAAAGGGCTGTGGCGAGGCAAGAGTGACACTTGGGCCCGTAGGAGTCGCCACGGCACTGGAGCAAGACGAAGACAGTATTCGGAGGTATATCTTGATAGGGAACATCCATATTAGAGTCGAGGACGTAACCGTTGCGCAGATCTAAGGTGGATATGTTTTTGATGACAATGTTGAGATTTTTCTCGAACACGCTCCCCGGCTTGTATTTCCCTTGGGTGTTATTGCATGCATGGTGGAGATACTCATTGGTAATGTTAAGAGACGAAATAACGCTGGGTATAAGGAGGAGTTGTATGGCCACCGCGACCAAGATAGGGACCAATCCAAAAGACATTTGTCCGCGATCTCTGTCCCTTTGTAATGTTTTTAATTAATAGATGAATCGCTGAGGAGTAGAGAAGTTTATATAGGAGACTTGATGAGTATTTTATGATTCTTTTTGTACTTTGGTGACCTTAAACAAATTCGTTTTATCGTCTTAGTACCTATGTTTTAGTCTAAAAGATAAGAGAGAGGTTGAGACTTAGTATTTGCGGCGAGAGAAAAGGGCTGCTGAAATAGTCAAAGTTCAACAGGTTTTGTAGAACCACATTATTGGGCTGAGCAAAATACAAAGAACCTACCGAATCAGATCCCAAATTAGCAACATAAATGATTAAATATGGGAAAATTGACAAAATAACCCTCAACTTTCGAAAAATAAGCCAAAAAAACTCCAACTCACAAACAAGCCATTTTAATCTTCAACTTCTAGTCAAACACGAATAAATCTCATACTTTCGTTGACCAAGCTATTTTAATCTCGTCAAAATTCAACCGTTTAGTTCCGTTAGTTATATTTAACGGTTGACTTTTAATGAGCCTAAAATGGCTTGGTCAACGAAAATAGGAGATTTTTTTTTATTTTAATTTAGAAGTTGAAGATTAAAATTATACACTTATCTTAACTTAAAAATTGCTATTTTTGTTTATTTGTTTCAACAAAAATTGTAGTTTATCATATCAATTAGAATGACAAACTTAATAAAATATGTTCATATAAGCTTAGTTATAATATTTTTAAATGAATTAAAAACAAAAAAATTGTTTAGTAAAAAAATTTCATTAAAAATATAATTATACTGTAAATCCATATATAAAATAAAATAATTAAGTGCTTATGTTCAAAAAAAAATTAAGAATAAAAACATAAAAGTTAAAGGTAAAACCCTAAACACATTATTGTTAAAAGTATAATCGCATATACTCAATAGAGGATGAAAGAAGTGAAAATGAGGAACTCAAGTGCGTGAAAGGGATTTCCAGCAGTTGATGTATATAATTTTTTTAATTCATTTTTAAATATTATATCTAAACTTATTTGAACATATATTATTAAGTTAGTGATTACAATCGATATAAAAATTATATTTTTTTCTGTCAGTTAAAAAATAAATTTTAGTTAAGATATTTTCAAATAAGCAATTTTAATCTTCAATTTTTAAATTAAGTTAAAAAAAATATCATACTTTCGTTCATCAAGCCATTTTAGGCTCATTAAAAGTCAACCGTTAAATATAACTAACGGAACTAAACGGTTGAATTTTGACGAGATTAAAATGGCTTGGTCAACGAAAGTATGAGATTTATTCGTGTTTGACTAGAAGTTGAAGATTAAAATGGCTTGTTTGTGAGTTGGAGATTTTTTTGACTTATTTTCGAAAGTTGAGGGTTATTTTGTCAATTTTCCCGATTAAATATTCAAATAAATTCAAAATCTTAATATTGAAAAAAAAAAAGAAAAACGGAATCAAACCTGATCCAAATTGAAATATTTTGGATATCCAAATTCAAATCATGGTTATATATTTAAATATATTAACTATTTTAGATTTAATATCTATAAAATATTCAAAATATACAAAAGTATCAAAAATATCAAAATTGTCACAAATAAATATCTAAATAACGCGAAAAATGTTCAAAACATTGGAATATATATTTGTTCTCCACACAAATATCCAACCAAGTTTTATGTTAATTTTAGGTAAATAAGTCTTACTTTATTCATATTGATATGTTGTATATTATTTTCATTTTGGTTTTTAAGGATTGTAATGTATATTTATTTTTTATTCTACTATAAAAAAAATATGTATGAATCTTAATAGAATCAGCAATGATCCGAACCGAATGTACGAATCCTAATAGAACCCGCAATGATCCGAACTGAAGCCAAACTGATATTTATAAATAACCAAATGAAACTTAAATTTTTAGTTCCAACAACTTAAAATCTAAATAGACTCAAAATAAAATCCGAATGAGTATCCAAACATCCAATCTTACACATGATATGTTGCAGCATAAATAGATTGGTAATAGTTAATTATTACGAAGTGATAGAAAGACAAAATTAGATCTTATTCTCAGAAATGACTTGCTTCCAACTTAGAAAATCATTTATATTTTCAAATTTTCCAAATTATAAAGTGAAAATCTATAAAAACATGCTAACTACATTTAAATAGACTTTTTAATACTCAAACATTTTGACTATCCAGTTTAATACTCAAACTATATTTTTTTTTTTGAAACATAACTTCCATTAAACATGAGTTCAAGAACTACAGTGAGTAGAGGGAATTAAACATTCTCTTGGAGACAAATCATAAACTACAAAGAGAAATTACATCAGACAAGAAAAGTGTTCATATGAAGATGGCAGCAGGTTCAAGACAGAGATTGAATGCGTCCGGAGAGCCTTCACGACAAAGTCGGACAGCTACAAAATAATCACAAGTGACGTTGAGGGACAACCCTCACCAGGGAGAAGAACCGAAGTAATCTCGATTGTACCTTCTGGCCCCGTACAGATCGCTACACAAGGTGACAAACCGGTGAATAAGTTGAAACAAAACCTCGGGATAAAACCCGAGAGGACATCTCTGTTAATAGAAGGAAGGTATGGTAGTGAAGAACTCTCCATATCGAAGGAGGATGATGAAAACGATATTGTTGGACCCAATGAAAAATTCTTCCTAAAGAAGTGATGTTGCAATAATCTCAGATTATAGACTCCAATGAACCCATAGGAGATCTATAAATTATCCAAAGAAATCAAACCCACAGCTAAACTCACGCTTTGGTTTGATAGTCAAGGGTTTTGAAACTTGATAACTGGATTAGAAGCTTCAGCAAAAGAGTTGGGCATAAGGACATTGAGATGCTATTAAACAAGGTCAAACGTAAACCTAAGACATTCGTTTGATAGTCTAGGGTTTTGAAACTTGATAACTGGATTAGAAGCTTCAGCAAAAGAGTTAGGCATAAGGACATTGAGATGCTATTAAACAAGGTCAAACGTAAACCTAAGACGACTCTGAAAAAGGAACAAGATCCTGGGAAGTTCTTGATTCCATGTTGTAGACATGATCACAAATTACCCAACGCCCTCTGCGATACCGGGTATGCGGTAAGTATCATTGCTATAGACACTGCCGATCTATTAGGATTGAAGATGGAGCTTTATCAAGACAGTTTCAACTTCGTGGATAACTCCAAGGCAAACTTAGAAGGCATAATCAAGAATGTAAAGGTGGAGATAGGGGATTGCACTATCCATGTGGACTTTCATGCTGTAGTTATCAAATCAGGCCTGACACCTCCACTTCTTTTTGGAAGAGCCTTCTTGGCTACAGTGGGAGAAGTATGTGATCTCAGAAGAATAAGATGTGCCTGACTAATGTTGATGAAACTGTTTTCTATGATCCGGTGGAGAAAAATAAAAGTGAGGAATTTATTTCCTACATAGATGTGTTTGAAGATCTACCATTTCCACCCGATCCATATCGCAAGCCTGCACAACAAGCATTTGCATCGATCGATATCGTGTCATCAGAATCGATTGACACAGCGTCTTCAACATCGATCAACATCAAGTCTACAACAGCTTCTTCTGCAAAGATATGTTGTCTTCAACATCGATCAACATCAAGTCACCCGATCCATATCGCCGAGTCGTTTAAAAAAATCGAGTTGTTATATAAAACTCGAGAAGTCGTTTTATAAAACTCGAAAAGTTGTTTTATAAAATCCGAATAAATTTCCAAACAAAGGAAATCCGCGGAATAAACTCGGAAATCGTTATCTCGAAAGAACAAAACAAACGCCGATTACACGATCGTCCGAGTTAAGCACAAAACCGTGAAAAACCGCATCCGTCGTAAACTGCGAGCTGGTTCAGCCGAACTAGCTCGCCGTACGACGAGCTGTACCAGCTTGTTCATCTCGCCGTACGGTGAGCTATCTCGACTGTGGGAGTCGATTTAACCCTAATGTCAAATAAATCGTAAATAAGGAAACTTCGGGAAAACCCTAAGTTTCCAGAGGAACCGGTTATCTGCGAGAACCGCACAACGAAAATAAGAAAACGATAACTTAGAATTTAAATGAGAATAAACGAAAACAGAGAGCAAAGAGGTTCTTATTCCGAATCTGCGTAGAACTGGTACAAAAAGAATTGCCGAAAGCGTAANACGAAAACAGAGAGCAAAGAGGTTCTTATTCCGAATCTGCGTAGAACTGGTACAAAAAGAATTGCCGAAAGCGTAAGAACTAGAAAACCCTAATTGAGACGCAGCTCGCTAACAGAAAAACGGAAATATTCCTAAATGCTAGTTTTGGTGGTGAGAGCTCTGAATTTCGTGTGTGTGCTTCTGCCCTAGACCTCCTCTTAATATACTCCTCGTCTTGGCTACCCGATCTTTCCATTTCGCCCAGATTTGACTTAAATCGGGAATTTTCCATTCTTCTCGATCCTTCCTTTTCTTCTGCGGAAATCTTCTATTTCTCTTCAAACCTTCCTTTATGTTCAAACTTGACTTTTATTTGCTTTCTGCAAGTAAACCGTCAAGACGTTATCAAATCCGCGGGTTAGATTCCGTAAAAATCGCAAGATGGGTTTTTATTGCGTTTTAGGTCCTTCCGGGCCGTTTTGCGATAAAAACCGTTTTCCGACTTTTTACGGGATCGTTTCCTGATCTGACGTCGTTTTAATAAATTTCTCGAATTAATCGCAAAGTTTTACGATTTACTCGACTTTTTATTAAAAACACGTTTTTATGACTTACTCGACGTTTTTTATTAAAAGCGCGTTTTTTATGATTTCGTCGAGAAATCTCGAATAAATCGTATAGTTTAGGCAATGTTTGGTGTTTCGTTTAACCGTTGCCGTTTTATACGATTTCCTCGAGTTCTTTCCGAGAAAACGAAGTTTTACGGTTTTTATCGTAAAACTCGAACGGTAAGTCGGATCGAGATGGAACGAGAGATANCCGGGCCCGGCTTAGTACG